CCCTCCATCTTCCATCCTTTTCCTTTTCTCCCATCATCCTTTCCTTTTTCCTCCCGGTTCCAGTGTTGATGTGGCGGTACCAATTGCCCATTTACAGCGTTTACTCCAACAAAGGCTTTTATACCACTTGCTTTCAGGCGGTGGCTCGATAGTAAAACTATTTTTAAATTCAAGTTAACAATGCTAGATTTTTGTATTATAATTAATAAACTACTCGCAGTTTTCAATGAGAGCCAGCAAAAGTTATTTACTAGGAAATAATGTTAATAAAATCTAGAAATTCAGTCAGATGAACATCTATTGTTCCGATTTCAAGTGGATCGGTAACATCTTCAACCATGATAAAGAGTGTCCCACTTCAATTTGCTCACGGAAAAAACGCTGTAGAAAATTACCTAGTTGACCGATCCTTTTCAAAATTTCAGACAATAAAATATAACCCATTAGTAAGCTTTTGGAGTATTTATTTCATTCAGCTTCAATACCATAACCATACGCTCGCATCTTACGCTTAACTTAACTTATGAGGTTCTGTACAACATCTGGCTGCAGCTTCTTCTGTACGGAAACCCACTTTTCTTCATGTCTTCCTCAGATTTGACCTTCTTGGGATGCTTCCGTAGTACCTGCTTCATAATATCCCAGTATTTTTCGATTTCGATGGGCCTTAGTTCCGGTGCGTTGGCGTGGTTCATGTCCTTGGGTACGAAAGTGAACCCGCTGGCTTCGTACCACTCCAGGACAACATTTTAATAGTGGCACGAAGCTAGATCCGGCCAGAAGATCGTAGGGCCCTCCTGTTGCTTCAACAGAGGAAGCAGACGCTTCTGTAGATACTCCTTGACGTAGATCTCCCCGTTTACAGTCTCGGTAGTCACGAACGGCGCACTCCGTTTGCCACATGAGCAGATCGCTTTTCAAATCATGTAGGTATTTCTTGGCAAACTTTAAAAGTTTCTGCTTCCTTACTTCCTCCGGAACATCAAACTTCTGCGGTGAAGAACAGTAGCCCCGGAAGCTGCCGGAAGACCGCCTTGACGTAAGTCTCATCATCCATGATGAGACAATCAGACTTCGTCAGCATCTGGGTGTACACTTTCCGGACTCGTGACTTGTGGAGCCTTCTGCACTTTGTACAATTTGCAGTCCCTCCCGGTCCTTGGCTCTCTGAACGAAAAACTTGGACAGATCCAACTTTTTGGCCACATCCCTGACCGAAGCATTGGGATTCCGCTTAAACGCTTTCACGACACGCTTGTGATCCTGATCACTAATAGAGCATCCATTCTGACCGCATTTCTCCTTCCGTTCGATGCTCAGAGTTTCGTAGTAACGTTTAATCATACGACTCATCGTTGACTGCACGATTCCGAGAAGTTTTCCGATGTCCCGATGAGAGAGTTGAGGATTTTTCAGGTGCTAGCGAAAAATCAATTCGCGGCGTTGCTTTTCGGGTGACGACATTTTTTCCAACATTCGAAAAACCGACAGCGATAAACATACAGTGTAAACAATACACTCTAAACCACTTCTACCCAAATGTCCAAGCGAAAATACCCAATGGGTAATTTCCTACGGCGTTTTTTCCATGATGCAATTTGCACCGCATCCAAAAAATAAAAAAAAATGCAAAAATCGAAAAAATTACATATTTCTGGTGACCTTTCGGTGGATTATTCAAAATACGCGATATTTTTCTAGTAGGCTTCAATCTACTCATGATCATTGATCTATCATTCCGTTTACCTGCCTTTTGAACCAGTGCGTACTTTTGCCGCCTGCGTACTCTTGCCCCTCTTTACTCTATCCTGTTTTTTTTTTCCTGAATCCATGATTTAAGATTTAACCCAAGGTTGAGGTTGAATATTTTTTGATAAAATTCTACTTCTTTTAAAAAATTTCATGTCCGATCCTAAGTAACATTTTTTCATTTATGAGGGCTTTGTGAACTATGATGTAGACTTGCAGAATGCTTTAAAACCACGATAAAACTTGCAATGTTTCTTGGGGTACCTTTCATATTTTTATTCCCCTATCATTTTTTTTTCATGGCACTCTCCATTCTTGTGAGGGTGGGTGGGTTCTTTAATTTTGAAAAATATATCGGTTTTTATACATTATCTGAAAGGGGCTCGTTTTCCGAGTACAACGGTATTTTTTCCTATCAATTTACTTCCATCTCGAATTTTAAATCAACTATTTGGCTTTGACATGTTTGACACAAGTCCGAAGTACCACCAAGGGGCGCTAAGATGGTGATTTTTGCTAATGTAATCACACTTATTTAAAATAGTTCCAGTGTTACAAAATTGTTGAAATTTTGAATTTCGGTTCCATTTGTAATGCAGATTCCGAATATGCAATTACCTCAATACTCTTAAAGAACCTAATTCACTTAACTTTCTTATAATAAATCTCTTTTATCAGAAATCCGTTGGTTTTATGTCTCAAAATAAAAACTTTGATATTTTTTACAAAATGCCACAGTAATTCATTCCTTAAATTCCTTGAAATTTTGATAAAAAAAGTTATTTGAATTCCTCGAAATTCAAATAGTATCTAGTTTCAAACAGGGGCACAATCATACAAGTTTGGAGTTCATTCCTTTTGATTAGAATTAAAGTTAAATTTGCGAGTTTAATCTTGATTTTATATCTAACTTCGTAACTTTGGAAGTTAGTTAGTCTGAGGTATCGAAAAAAAAGCATTCTAGGTAAATGCTTTATAATTTTCCTTTTTCATCAAACGGAGGTGAACCAACCTCGGGCTGAAAGCCTCCCTAAACTTAATTTAACTTTTTTCATCAAACATTAGAATCTGGACATTTAAAATCCGGTAGTTATCTTAAGAGTCTGAAGAAAATTAAATTTTAATCTGATTTTTCATGATTCTTCTTTAACTGAGATTCAAGATTTTTCGAAGTTTTAAAATCTTAATTTTGTTGTTCTCTCGCAAAATTATGTAAGTCTCAATATGTAGGTAAGTTTCCCAAGATTTTAACCACGATTTTATTTTGAAATCCGGGAGATTCGAAGCAGATCCATAAGCTCAAAACTTTTGGTTATTTAAATTTCGAATATTTTTCAGGCATATTTATAGTTTATTTACTAAAATTCTTATTTCTTTTTAATATTGATGTAGGATTCATGGAGGATCTGCTATTTCATCTAAGTCTTATAATTATGATAATTGATCGAATTTCGCGATCTTTTATTTACATTTGAATTAGAAGAATGTATACTTACAATCAAGGTTACTTCCAACCACTTGCTATAAAAATTGTGTTTCCGAATTATGCAAGCATTAGATGTTATAATGATAATTAGTACTTGTAAGTTACAAGAAGAGGTCGTGAAGTATGTGTTTGACACATTACACCTGTCAATATTGCTTTCAGTGCGTCACAATCAGCGATTTAACGATTTGTGAGCGCTCACTCCGAGTGAACGCTCGCGAATCATAAGATCGCCGATTGTGACGCTCTGAAAGCGAAATTGACAGGTTTTATGAGTCAAACACATCCTTTACAGCCTTTTCTTATTACTTACAAGTACAACATATCATTATATCATCTAATGATCTCATACTTTCGAAAACCATTATTGTATAGCAAGAGAGTGGAAGCAACCCTGTTTACAATCTGTATCAGAGATATCTATTTTTATAGTAACTGAAGCTTTAAAACATATTGGGCTTGGGATCTCACAACAGTTTTTATTTTAGCTTACAGAATTTTAAGAATTGTTCATTGACATATATGTTGTAAATGTATTTATTATTTGTGCGCATAGCTATATTTCAAAGCCACAAATGTTAAAAATTAAAAATTAAAAGTCCTAGAATTAAATGTTGGTACCTATGTCTGAGATTTAATTGATGATTAAACGAACGTGAGAATTTTCTTAAGTTTGAGATCCATAAAATACCTATGAGATCCGGTCTATATGTAATTTCATGCTTTTAAGGCTCCCCCAAGCGTTGTTATGAAATAAAAACAATAAAATTAAGTGTGTCACCATTAAAATGATAGTAAGCATCACCATAATAAATCCTTGTTATTGGATGAAGTGGATATGTATCCAACAATAAAATACAAGAACAAATAGCCTTGACGCCTTTTGATTGAATGGCAGTTCCAGATTTCCTATTTAACCGTAGTTTAACAAAACAAACAAAATGCCAAAAGTTCCCCTTGGCCCTCTCGAGTAAAATTTTCAAGCTACGCCAATGGAAATATTGTCAAACTTTAGGATCTTAAATAAAATGCTGAACCAGGAATCTGAATCTTGAAACAATATAAACTGTTTTTCAAACCCTGAGAATATTGATAACATCTTTGTACTTTTTTTTACATAGTGATCATTTGAAGAAGAAAAAATCTTTGTGGTACCAACTAAAGTCATCTGAAAATCCTGCTTCATTGGATGACGTTGTTTCAAATACTTATGTCTTTACTTAAATCCTAGGTAATAGTCAGTTCTTATTAACGTGATTTTTTTTTTGCTAGCAAGTATATTTAAAATCTAGTTGTACTAAAGTCAAATATGTTAAGTACTACTAGGATTTAGGTATTCTATAATCAAATAGAAGTAGATTCTATGCCGATTTATTATTAACTCCTCCACTTTTACCGGAAAGGATCAAAAGCAGATCACGTTAATAAACAATTGAGCATGCAACAGTGCTTTACGCTTTTCTTGCTTTCATGTTATTGCTATATTGATCTTTTATGTCTTTAATGCTCAGAACAGCTTTAACCAAGGCAATGTACATATATAACACTAGATCTACAACTATCGATGTGTACTGCGAAGAGCAATACTGTTTAATCCACAAATTCTCTACTAAACACAAATCGTCCTTCTAAGCGAACAGATTCTAGAAGTTTTGGCAACACTCACATGCTCCGACACTGAACTACATCCATGCGATTTCCGTTCTTCTCTCTCCCTCGTCCCTTTCTCTCTCCCTCGTCATACCCATCCGTGATGGACCACTAGGAGACGATAGTGACTCGATGGGCGCATCCCGGCACGGAAAAACCCCACTCGCCACGCCACCTACCAAGGAGAAGCGGAAACCGTTCTTCAAAAAGCAGGAAACATCATCACCATATGACGTAGTGCCATCAATGAGACCAGTCGTACTAGTGGGTCCAAGTTTAAAGGGTTACGAGGTGACCGACATGATGCAGAAGGCGTTGTTTGATTTTTTAAAACGTCGATTTGAATCCAGGTTTGGACGGTTTTCTGCGGCGGAAAGGATCATGGCTAATTCTTTAATTTTGTTTTTCAGAATAATTATTACCCGTGTTCAAGCTGATATATCGTTAGCGAAGCGTTCCCTGATGAACAATCCATCGAAGCGAGCGATAATGGAGCGTTCCAACAGTAGGTCATCTTGTTTAGCGGAAGTGCAGGTGAGATCCTTCGCTGATACCAAAAAAACAAAATACTGTCACCTTTAACTTCCTTTCCTTCCAGGCTGAGATCGAGCGAATATTCGAACTAGCGAGAACACTTCAATTAGTTGTACTTGATTGTGATACAATAAATCATCCGTCACAATTAGCGAAAACATCATTAGCGCCAATAATAGTTTATTTAAAAATAGCTAGTAGTAAGGTAATGGCAGTTTCCATTCCACATCTTCATTCAAATCGTTAATTGAGGTTTGCTTTCTTACCCCACGGCGAGCACAGGTATTACAAAGATTAATCAAATCACGTGGCAAAGCTCAGGCAAAAAATTTATCAGTACAAATGGTAGCTGCTGAGAAATTGGGTCAATGTCCACCGGAGATGTTTGATGTCATCCTAGATGAGAACCAGCTCGACGAAGCGTGCAATCACCTAGCCGAATACCTAGAGGTGCGTATAATACACTCACAAACACACATCGGTTTCAACAGTCAACTCATGGTGCTTTGTCTCACTATTCCAGGCATACTGGCGGGCTACACATCCTCCCATACGACCAACTCCAACTGTTCCTAGACCTTTGCCGTCCCAAGAAGCGTCACCGTCGGGCGAACAGTCCGGTCGAATCGGTCCTCCACCTCCTGGTAAGTGAGATCCGGTCAAATTTCAAATTACATTTCCAGTCTCGCAGATCGAGAGCCAATTATGAACTAGGTACCACTGACTGTGTTTGTGTAGCGAATGGAGGGTTCACGCGGGTTCGCATCACCACCAATGAGTAGTAGGGCTTTTTGTTCACCTCTGAGTTGGCTTCGAATGCACAATTTGGTAGGATTGTTTTTTTTTTCTTTTTGGTTTTTGCTGGAAGTCGCGACGATCGAATGGAGAGATGTTGTAATGGGGAATCATTTCAAAAAGTAGGTATGCTCATACACATTCTAGAGGTTCAGTGCTACAGTTATTTCTCGAAATAACGTAACTGACTTTTCTCACTTTCATCGCCGATTTTTCTGAAACAACAGCCCAATCATACAAATCAACATTAGCCATAGATGAGGAGTTATCTCTTCTGTTCGATTGCAGTATAAATTTCCGTGCTTGAATGGTCGCTTGCGAGAGATCGGCGCTCGAAATAAAAAAAAAGCCAGATACCGTAAGATACGGGGGGGGGGCATTTTTTACCAATAAACCCGAATATATTTTCAACCATATGTTTAGCACACAAACAAATACCTTTCAAACCTGTACTAGCAAATGCTTTTGTAATGTATGAATTTAGATTATAAATTGTACGCTAGGTTTATTTTTTTTTAATTTGATTAAAAATAAAAACTATCCATTCTGGGGCGACGTTGATCATGCAGGTTATTACCGAAGACAACAAATCAAGAAGACTGGCAACTCTTCCAGTTTCTCATACGAACGCTATGAGACAGGTACAATCGCTTCATCTGTCGCTCAAAGGTAAATGCTTCGAACGAAATTGGCAGCAAAGATTACATCCTCAGAAGAAGGGTTTGTGTATTTGCTCATTTTTCTATGCGTTGCTTCCACCTTCACTCAAGCGCACCGCCATTGTATCTGTCGCTTGGATTCTGGCAAAGTTGCTGTCTTCGTTATTACGCAAATGCAATATTCAGAAGTTAGCATTTATACTTGGTTGTGTCTGGTGTAATTTAAACGATTTTTTGTGAAAACTGATGTTAATTGCCTGCATCTAGGCGTACTGAAACTATTTTGCTACAACATGAACACGCCTAAATATAGCCATTCAACATAAGTTTTCACATAAAATCATTTGTATGATACGAAATTGTCCATTTAACAAAATCTGATTTAAGATTTAGATTGAGCGACCTAAAATTATGTAAAATAAGTAATTTCACCGAACAATTCATCACCAGAATAAATGCTAATTTGGATAGGATGTTTAGGAACAGGTAAAACTGTAGTTCCACAAAATTGTACGTTTAGCTAGGTAAAATGCATCGTTTGTTAGGCGAAACGTTTCAAAAGGCCGGTAATCCGGGGTCAAATCGATCACTTAATAATCTAAATTTATTGATGAGCGTTTTAGAAGAATAATTGTATACCTTTTTCGTTGATTTTTCCTTTTCATTCTACTACTTTTATATCACTTTCACTTTCACTAGATCACTTTCATTAATCCACTTTCACTCTTTACTTTCACTATCACTTTGAACTATAACAGATACGTATTTTGTTTACTACTTTCAAACTTCTTTAGCCTATGACTAGACACTGAAGAAGATTGCAAGTAGTAAACTAAATACAACAGATACGTATAGTTCAAAGTGATAGTGAAAGTAAAGAGTGAAAGTGAATTAGTGAAAGTGAAGTGATACAAAAGTAGTAGAAAAATCGACGAAAAAGGTACACTTAATAATGCTAATATATAAATAAATATCTACATTAAACGAAATTGGCTCATGGTAATAATTAGTAGCTATAAGGTCTCTATGCAGAACATGATTACTTAACATATTGAGTGTTTCGTTTATGTTCGTTTTGAAACCTCAAATTTGAAAATATCGATATGGGGTGAAATCGATCAACCCCTCAAATGCCATTTGAGTAAATTGTTGTTTTTATTAAATTTGGATTGCCTGAATCCGAGTCAGATGCTAAAAACCTTGGGTGAAGTGTATTTTCAACAGAAATTGCAAAAATGATTTCTTGAAATGTATTGTTACGCCTAAATGTAAGCAATTTCTGTAAAAATCACTGTTAATTTCACAGTAAACCATTATTTTCTAAATATTGAAAATAGGTTACCAAATGTTTTATTATAATTCATATTCATTAACATCTAGTTTAATGAAAAATACAACTTTCAAGTTAAGGACAACAATTGTTGCAACCCAATGACAGCTTATTTGAATGCTGATATTGAATTCTATTAAACGTCAGTTAAATAAACATGAGTCTCATAATGAAATGCTATCAAGATTTCTCTTAATATCTGTCACCGAGAATTTTCTAAGTACCAACTAAAAACGGAAATCTTGTTCTTCTTTCTCGCATTTCAAGCTTATTGCGTATCGCACATTAGCTTATTGCGTGCTGTTAACTTAGTTATTACATAAATTTAATGCACTTCCACTTATTAATTACGAGCTTTCGATGCCTGTACCATTTTTGCATTAGTATAATTGTGTGGCAAGTACAATTATATACTCTATGCCTAGGGAAGTCGAGAAATTTTCCAACCCGAAAAATTCCTAGACCGGACCGGGAATCGAACCCAGCCACCTCCGGAATGGTTTTGCTTTGTAGATGCGCCTTTACCGACTGAGCTAAGGGAGGCCCTTAAAACATAACCTATAATGTTCAATTTCACCCCGGTTCAATTTGCCCACGGATTACGGTACTATTTAAAACTACTTAAAGAAATTGACCAATGCACGGAATGAACTCACGAAAAAAATTGACGTTTGAGAGGATGCCATGTTTACTAAAAATGAACACATGATGTAATGCTCGCGTAACTTTAGAAAAGGGCCAATCAACTTATATAAACAACTTGTTAGGCACCTTCACGCGAACCAAGAGCTTTATCGGGAAGGGGAGAATTTACCCTACCCGATGGCATTGTTGGTATACGGGGGCGTACTTTGGTTCGTGCGAAAGGGGCTTAATAAACTTTGTGTACAAAAGTTGATGGGCCATTTTCAAATGTTACGTGAGCACGACTCATGTGTTCATTTTTAGTAAACACGGCACCGCTCAAACGTCAAATTTATTCGTGCAGTTCATTCCGTGCATTGGTCAATAGTGAACAAATTAAAGAATCGAAAACTCAACGTTGTAGTAATCAACTTCACCCCGTTTTACGGTACGTTGTATCGATATCGTACTAATTTCTATGCATTTTGCAGAATGTCATCTTTGCCTCTCGGCATATAAAGTACTATCAGAGTATTAATCGCTCGGAATTATATGCTTGAATGGGTTCTGGGGAGTTGAGTTCAGTTGTAAAGAGACAAGGAGCTGTAGATCGAAAGACTTCGTTATCTCTGCGAGGACACTTGAGGAGTACGATGAACGATCTAAACAAGTTTTGTCAATTGAAGTATAATGCAAAACTAAATGCCGAATAATGTCTCTTCAGACTTAGGGAGCTCGAGATTCTGCGATTGAAGGTGATACCAAACATAGAACATTACAATTCCAGAGAGCAAAGAAGAAGTTCAAAGTAGACGAGTTCTGAATCTCTACAACAGTATCTTCGTGGACATGTCGTTGATGTTGGTAATAAGCAGAAGTAAGTGTTCGATGATTTGCGAATTAAATTAGGGACTGTTCACATTCCACGTGGACAGTATTTGAGAGAGTACCCCTCCATGGAACGTGGACATTTGCCTACCACCCTACCCACCTTAAACTCTTCACGTGGTATGTCAACAGCCCTGAATCAGATGGTGCGCGACAATTAGAAAATTTTTACCCCAAAAAGTCACATACAGAGTGTCCCAGAAAGTATAAGCACAGTTTTTTTTATTGGAACAAAACAACATTATGTTAATGAACTCAAATTTTTATTTCATATATATGTTCTCTATAGTATTCTCTTTCAATTGGATGAAAATAATCCGCAGTTCCTTTAATCGTATGCCAAAGAGCGAACTTTTGATCTGACGCTGCCCATGAGCTTCAGCACAGACTCATTGGCGATAATTTTAGTCACTTTTGTCAAGTCTTTTTCAAATTCTTCGATTGAATTCGCTGCCTTAAAATGTTTCTGCAGATAACCCTTGGAAAGGGCCCAACAAGTTTCGATTGACCGGGCCTCCGGACAATTCGAACTATTCATCTCTTTTGGCACGTATTGCACTTTGTTTACTTTGTGCCAAGCTACCGTGTCTTTCGAGATATCAAATCAGACCAAAATAGTACTTGGCCATCATGTTGACGGATTATGGGCCGCAGACGCCAATTCAAACACTCCCGAACGTAAATTTCAGTGTTCATCGTTTCTCTCGTCACAAATGGCTTTGACAACTTGTCACACTCACATATCGCTTGCCAAACCATGGCCTTCTTACCAAATTTTTCGCAAAAATTGACTTATCGGGCATCGTAAACTGACCATCACGAACTGTGTAGTATTGGTCTCCCGGAAGCGTCTTGTAGTCAAATTCGATGTATGTTTCATCTTCACACGCTAATTTTCCACACAATATAGATTCCGAGCCCTCGGTTTAACGGATGCGGTTTGTTTTTGACGCCGTTTCGTTGGACGCACGTTGGACGTTACGTTCTCAGTTCTTTACCCAAATATCGAACAGAGGCACTTTTCTTCTGGTCCACTTGTCGGTCCATCGGTCCCGGTTTACGGCTAGATTTCAATGTTTCCTCGAAGGTAACTTCTTCATTGAACTTCCGGATGGCGGTTTGGACTGCTCCGATACTTACTTCCTCCATTTTAACCAACTTCCTTACTGATAGGTTGGGAATAGTGCACGATCTGTTTTTCCGGGGAATGTCTCACATTTTGATAATTATGTAAAAAAAAATGCCCTTTGCGTCCACAAACTTGTTGAGCAATAAGTAAACAACAACACACATCGATGAGTAACTGATAAACTCCATCGGAGTAAAAGTGGTGGCGAGTTGAAAGTGT